TCTCACAAGATCCTATTGGTTATGTCATTGTTGGTACATTTTTAGCTCCGAATCTCTATATAGTCAAAAAAAAATCAGCCAGTTAGTTATTGGTCCCACCTTACTTCGGTCAGAATTGGTGCAATATTTTTATGGGTCCAGTGAAGTGGTTCCTTATTTCTTTTCTGCTTTTTTCTTTCCCCTGGCCAAAACTAGTACGATTACTACGTGTCGTTGGAATCCCCCCGCACCAGTTTAACAGCCCTACACAAAAAAGCCTTGTTGAGATTGACCTACCATGACACGCGGCAAACAAAAAGAACAGGCTAGGTAAATAGTTGGCTAAAAACGACATATTGCACCATCTGTTAACGAATCACTTGGTTTCAACTAATGTCCATGTACCACTACAATGAGCTGGCGTTCAAAACGAATTGTAGTACAAAAACTGTGACCAGTGGAGGGGAGGCTCGTCCAGCTTGTACCAGATTCTTGCTCCAGAGCTGGGGCCAAACGGTGTGGGTCAACCCCTCCAAAGTGCTAAGTTGACCAACGTAAGAAGGAAGGAGTAACACACTAATACCAGAAAATTAACCTACTTCATTTCATTGTCCAACTACACCCCGCTTTTGGTTTACAATAGAGAACGGGCTCAAAAATTAGCTGAGTCGAAGAAAGGAGGCAAATCACAACTAGGCCACCGTGCTGCGGGTTTAAAATTTAGCTGTCCGGTTTGCAAAGTAAGTAATACTAAAGACACACTTATTTCCAGTAAAGGATGGTGTATATTGGCATAGCCATTAGTGGTTCAGAATAACTTTTTATTACACTTCTGTCACCGTTATCTCACCACAAATGAACTAATCCTGCACATATCTCATTACGTTGCCCATGCTGGACTGGGGGGGGTGGTTATCATGGCGTTGATGATACAGAACCCTGCTTCTAATTTTAAAGTACTAAAGGAGCACATGGAGGCAAAACATCCGAAAGCGGCCGTACCGGATGAAAGTTCGTTTGAGTCATAACGTTAGTAGGATTATAGATGCATTGCTAATATTACGGAGAGATGAATCTTTGGTTTTGAGCTAGATGACTACTGGCTGTTGAATAAATCTCTACTATGTTAGAAAAATTTGTCGTTATGCCTTTCACACCCTTTTTTTGTACTACTTCACCATACCCGAAAGAATGAGGATTACGCTGGTGCATGAAAAAAAATCATATACGAAATTGGACTAATTGAAGTCAGGTTAGAGATAGCAATATATAAGAAACTAAATACATGGATAGTGGTTTTCGCCTATATAATGGTTTGAAGCGAAAAAGTACCAGAAGGGTTTCGTGATCAACCCATTCAACTCTGGTGGGAATATTCTTTGTACTAAGGATTTGAAAATCTTGAATAGTACATTGCGAAAAAAATTTTTAGGTTGCCTGCTTGGCCAAGTGGTTAAGGCGTCGGTCTTGTAAACCGAAGATCGGTGGTTCAAATCCGCCAGCGGGCAGTTTTGTCGTAGGATTTTCGGAGGCAGCTATGTCATAGGGAATTCGGGGGCAGAATTTTTACTAGCCAGTTCTGTCGTGGGGTGGGGAGATTGCGTGGAAATTCCCATTCTTTTGGCATCACCCATTGTGGTCTTGATGTCGTAGGTTGGTCGAGAGCAGAAATTTTATCGGCCTTTTCTCCCATGGCTGACTTCTTGGTTTCATGGAGACCCATTTTTCTTTTCTAATAAAATTCACTTTGAAACTATAAC